TTTACCCGAAGGATAATAGAAGGTTGTTGACCTCTTTGGTAAATGTATTTCCGGAAACTGATTGGCCTGGAAAATTTTAGAAATGATTTGAAAAAGGCCTTCAATGTGTTGCAGGACTTTCCTTCCAACCTAATATTAACTGACAAGCGATACGGTACACAGACCCACTCGTGAGAACTGAGCTAATGCAGTGTTGGGGCAAAAGGTCATTGAATAGGAGTACACCTTTCTGTTAGAGGTGTCCTACTCTTCGCGACTATACAATCAGCGTCAATTCCAGACAAGATCGCTTCGTAGGAAAGTAGAGTCATTAAAGTAAATTTGGACTACACCCGCTCCAAGCTGTTTTCATCGACATGACCCCCTATTTCAGGGCTGAAGCTCATAAGCAAATCTACAAATTCTGTCTCATACCAGTTTGCCTTCAGAGGGCATATGAGGGAGATCAATATTGCAAAAATAAATGAACAACTGATGCCTCCTCATGCCTATTGTCTCCAGGACCTTACTATCTAGTATGCTCCTATGGTGACAAAGTATCACAGGCGACGACTTTCCCTTCGCACTGTTTGCTTCCGAAACCGTTCCTCTATTAATGTATGGGTCACGGGAAATTCATGCGTGAGGTGTCTGGTCTCCACAAGTGTGAATCTGCCCCCAGTTTTCACAGCCGTTGGTCTCGGAATACCAAATAGGATTATAGCGATTGCCATGCAGTAATTTCAGCGGCTCCACGAAGATTCCCTTGTTGACTTGCATTACATTTGTAGTAGGACAGACAAAACTCGAACAAAGGATTCTATAAGTACAAGAACATCCCAACTTGCAGTATTTAACCTGAAATTCCGACTTATACGAAAAGTGTGGTGGAGCGGACACAAAGGTTGATATGCTATCACTTGATAAATCATCGGGTAAGGTGAGTATCGAGTTGCTTTTCAAGTAGGGTAATCCTACGTCATTCTACGAGAGCCCAGCTGAGAGCATCACTGGTCACAGGCCAATGTTCACCTAGACGTTTCGATGACAATTCAACTAGCGGTAGCGATCATGCAAATCAAAAAGAGCTGATCGGCTTGTAGGCAGACCGATTGAAAAAGTGCTCCAGTTACGCCACCGCGGTTCGATTTGTTCTGCTATCTCTGAGTCGGTTTTTATCAACCAGCACGTTATCACTAACTACCAAGGCCTTCCGACTTCTGGGAAGCTCCGCAAGGTTTTCGTTTGTAGGTTGTTAGGCTGAGCTAAGGGACCTCGAAAACATCGCCGCTCTTACTGAGCGGTTCTAAGCACACCGAAGGACGATAGCACGTTGTTGAGAAAAAATTTGAACATATGCAGAATGTCAAATGTTTATATATAAGTATGTATGCATATGTGTGTGTACATGTGTATTTTTTCACAATTAACACTTTTCACGTAGTAAATATCAACAGAGGCTGAAATATCAAAATCGCTCAATCCACAGAATGTCCACACCGCCTTACCTAATACTATTACCAGGACAACTCAGCGAAATTGACCGCCTTGGGATTTTGACCGTCTTTTCAAAAAATTTCGGGTGAATAGGGCTATTTATTAGAAAGGAAGCCCGTCTACCAACTACCCATACTAATTGTAATTTCGAAGTATATAACCAATTCATTTACTTACGGATACAAGTCAAATTATTCTTAGGAGCGAATTTATTAAAGATCTCATCGGAATTACGGTATTGGTATCAGTAGAAATATAAATTACATAATAAAAATACAATTTAGTTCCTTTCAAAGTCCGCGATTATATCTCTTATGACTTCAGTATATGCTTTAGAAGGTATTGTTTGATATTTGCTTTTGTATTGAATGTGTTTCTGCCTTGTAATGCTCATGTACTAATAAGTAAATAAACAAACCTGAGAACATGATCAACAGATAACAACTGTTCCGAAAGAACACATTAGTGGTCCAGGTCATCAAGACATCTCCATGAACTTCTCACAGTTTTTGTAATTTTTGTAACGGCATTGATAACTATAAAATATATAGCCTATACCTTATATTTTAGAGTTTTCCCATATAAATTCATAAAAAATTGATTTTCATGAGTTGACGAGAACACCATCTGTCCGATTTTTCCTTTGAAATGGATGATGGGGCTGACAGGTGGTATGCCTATTGCATGAACTTTGGCGTTCCAACATTTGTCCTCAGGTCTAACAGATGGCTAAAAACTTTTGACTAGCAAACTTCCCGAGGCCTTCACTCTCTGCTGGTTATTGACGTCATAGGGGGAAGACTACCGAAAAAACCCTCCAGTGCTCTGATCTTCACTTTAACTCGACTCTTATCTCATAATTTAAAATTGCTTTATGCACGTCGCCCACCATGTTACAGCTGGTAGTCTTATCACAAAGGCAGAAGTCATTCCAATTTGATGGCTATTTCGTTGTTTATTCGTGTTTCCTTCCAAAATTGCTACGACTTCAGAATTTCTCCGACAAAACCTCAGTTTCATATCTCATGCCTCTGATGTCGCTTCAAAAGGGATATCTACCTATCAAAATCATTCTCATCCAGTAAACTTCACTTAAATCTCAATCTTACAATTGCTAAGTGAGATAACTTATTAAAACTTTATTTTCTCACAAAAATGTTCTATTAATCCTTTAGCTAACAACTCTACCTTTTCAGAGGAGCTCTACTGAGTTTTCCGTATTTTGCCTTTTTATAAAAACAAAAAGGCTATTATGATGTATGAATTGGAAGCTGAGATCCGAAAAATTTGATAGCATTCCCAGCTGTTGTCGACCACGTCATTTCGAAGGATTTCGCTGACCTTTCCTTGATTGATTCGCTGAGACATTGGCCAAAGCTTGTGCTTCAAGCAGTATTTGATCCTGCTGATCGAATTTTGGCTGTATTGGCATGCCAACCCTTAGTCTACACCATACTACCATGCCTCTGGGAAGCTTGAAACCATGCTTTTTCACGATGGTGACCGGTCTCCTTCTGCTCGCGTAGGGGAAGTCTTGCCAAGAGACATAATCCTGGTAATCAGACCTAATTTCACGAATTAGGTATTTCCTCACTTCATAAATCTTGATCGGTTATCTATAATGGATTAGTGGTATTTATTGAGCCTGGAACGATTTGTTGGAGTGTAGCAGGCACCATACTTATGGATATTACGAAGAGACAAAGCAAAGTACAGCTTGTTAGCCATGATGCAATCATGCCCCACATGATCCTCATGTGAAGCCCGCATGTGCTCTGAGTGACGGCTTTTTGTGCCTTCTTTCGAGCCGGCAGAACATTCTTCTTCATTTATGCGGCTCCTCGTCTAGAAGGAGCAGTCGATTGTAAAGAAAGGCCATCAACACTTTCTTACGGCTTGCCGGCTTGCCTACATCGTTGTTGAACTCTCCGCTCAACCGGCACAATAATTTCTTTGTGATAATTTTTGCATTGTTACCACCTTATGTGACTAGTCTATGGTTTAT